GCAGAAACAGCTGCTTTGCAACTGTTGTAAAATTCGTGAATCTGATTGGCGTATGCTCTTAAATTCACTCAACATTAAAAGAATACGCCAATCAGATTCACGAATTTTACAGCAGTTGCAGAGCAACTTTTTCTGCTGAACGCAACCACGCGGTATCTAGACTTTGCCTTTATTTCAACAGTAGGGGTAGAGGTTCACGTAGAAAGGGATAAACTCTGTCTTGTGCCATTTCGTTCTCTCTCGTTCGCATGCGCGAACAAGTCTAGATATATTATGTCTATGGGGCAGACCAATGAGAGAAAAGTCGTATGCGCGGGGCTTTGTCTAGTGTGCTATTCGCGTGGCTCTGAACCGAGCGACTTTCAACTTTTCTGCGAGTGCAGGAATCTCGCATACATTTCTCTCTCTCTATCTCTCTCTCTCTCGAATGAATTGAAGAATCGAACTCCAGGAAGTTAGCACGTCGAGTCGTTAATCGTTGAACGACCACGAGGGATATTCGGGCGACGGCGGAAACCGTTCGAACGGAGCCGATTCTCGCGCCGCGGCCGCCCGCTCGAGACTGGAAGACTCGGCGTACGAACGGGTTACCGTTGGTAGCGCGGCGACCTTGCGTACACAATACGCCGCGCGCCGGAACAACAAGCCGCACGGGCTCCGAGCGATTCGAGCGGCGTGTGTGTAAACAAAGTCGTGGTTACCGCGGAATATTTCACGCGTTACGAAACAAATGCATAACGAATATCCCGAATATACCGTTCCTTGCATTTCAAAGCGATTTCGAGCGCGGCCGTGCCGCCGAGCGCGCGCACACCGAATCAAACATTCATCCGAAGGTGTGTATGTACATTCTGTCTAAATCACAAACGGGCGTACGCGCAACTTTACTTGTTATCGTTACTTCACGCCGGATGTTGGTCTCCCGAGAGAGGGGACACGTGTGGCCTTTTGACGAGCCGAGAATGTTCCTTTTCTTTTTATCGAGTCGAGAAAATCCAGTTCAATTCTGTTCCTTCTTTGGTCGATTTTTTATAATCGCGCAAATTAACCGTGCTTTCCAGCAAGCGACACAAGTCGACACAAATGTCGTTCTGTCTTTCTTCGCATTCAATGAATAATAAAGACAGAACGACACTTGTGTCGACTTGTGTCGCTTGCTGGAAAGCACGGTAAGATTAGCCTGTCAAAAAGGCGCGACGTTTGAAAGAGAAAACCGATAGTCATGAAGCGTGTAGTTTTAATTTTCCAATTCCAAAATAAAGAAATAAGCTTTCATTCTTCTTCCACTTTAGAATCAACATAAAACTTATTATTTCTCTTCAAACAGGATAAGTAAATGAATTTCCCCAATTTCTCGAAAAGATCAGGGGCTCGATCACGAATCCTTTCCTCTAGCGTGAAGTCGTGAAAAGTGAAACATTTTATTAACGAGTTTAGTATTTCTCAATGAAATGTTTGTCTCCCGAGAGAGGGGCCACGCGTGGTCTTTTCACGAACCAAGAAAGTTCCTTTACTTTTTATCGAGTCGCGAAAATCCAGTTCAATTCTGTTCCTTCTTTTGTCGATTTTTTATAATCGCGTAAATTAAGATTAGCCTGTCAAAAAGGCGCGACGTTTGAAAGAGAAAACCGATAGTCATGAAGCGTGTAGTTTTAATTCTCCAATTCCAAAACAAAGAAATAAGCCTTCATTTTTCTTCCAATTTAGAATCAACATTAGACTTATTAATTCTCTTCAAACAGGGTAATTAAGCGAATTCTCCCAATTTCTCGAAAAGATTGACTAAAGATCCGCGGAGGAATCCAATCGTGCAGACGATCGTTTAAAATATCTTCGGCTCCGCCGTCTGACCGTTCACATGGCAGCGCTACTGAATGCGGAAAGGGAGTTCGGTGCCAACAACAAAGTCGACGGCGCGACACGGCATCGGCAGGCGGGCAGGCGGGTATACGAGGCTGACGGGCGCCGAAAGCGAATTACCACCGTGAGACCCGAGACGGTTACCGGTGCACACGTCGCCGGCGCTTCGACACCCGCGCGAACCGGGCGCCGGAATGCAAATGGACCCCGACAATCGCGAAAGCGTCCGGGGGAGGCTTTCGCGAGCGTATCACTCCCACGGCGAATATAACCGGCGACGCGCGGAACGAAATAACAGCCGCGGGAAAGTGTTGGCGCAACAATGCGCGGCAACTTGGTCGTTTCAGCAAGTGGCTTCTGATTACGCGCGCTAATGAGGTTTCCGCGCGCTTGTCGCGCGTTAATCGCAGACACGCGGAATCCAATTGTATCGCGCGGTGAGAAAATCGGGACTTACAGGGGGGCGAATTATGAGGGGAGAGGGAAGAGGCGCGAGACTCTCCTAACTTTTGTCGAGTCTAATTTGGAGAGGGGGAGGGGGTAACTTTTAAAGATCAACTATACTTATGCCAAGATTAAACATACTTTACAAGTTAATCCGGAGAGAAACCGTGGGCGCCGCAACACCGGGATAAAGTTCGCGATAAAAGATATCCGTTGGAGTGAGCTGCTTTACATTTGGCGGGACCTTCGGCTCTTCGGCGAGACGCGACCCTGTCTCTTTCTCTTTCGTTGTCGCGGTTCAGCCCGGCGCCCTATTCTCGGGATATAATCGTCCTGGAACAAATGAACCGGTCTCCCCCTCCCCCGTCCGCCACCTCACCCCGTAAGAAATTAAAAATTTCAGTGGCTCGCGACGCGCGACCTGACATTCCGTCGCCCGACAAATTGCCACCGCGACGAACGTGACGGCTCGCACCGAACGCGCGGACCTCCAGCTCGACGGGGGAGAAAATAGAAGAAAAGTACAGACACTCCGCTAAACGAGACCCCTTTGACGGAAATTGGAGGAGGAAATTTTGTATTTAGGAGCAACCCTCCACCTCCGTGGAATTTCAAATATCCCGCGACACCGCTCGGCGCAAATGTTATTGTACATGACGTATATTTTTTTTAACCCCAATCCACCCCTCTGTTGTACATACAAGGTGGAGAACAGAATGATTTTCTGTCGGGACGACTGGTTTGCCTACGGCGAGGTATTTTAGCGAAACGCGCTCTTCGGCGCGGATGAACGAGGAAAGATCACGACGCATTTTCCGATCGCTCGATACGACAATTGCCGAGCCTCGAGACTAACGTGTCGGCGAGCGCATTATGCAAATGCGGCTCAGACGCCACGCGATATTTCCATGATGCGAACTAGCCGCCCGCAGATATTATCGAGTGCGTCTCGCCCGTAAAGTCTGTGAACAATTCTGCGACGACTCGCCGCCGCGCGGAAAAGGAACCGCGACGAATCGCGCGCAATTGCGTTTAATTTCGTCCACGGCGATCGATCGGCATTTTCCGCGCGAGAACAACACTCCTAGGGCGGTATTCATAATCAGATCTTATAATTAAGATCGTCTTTAATGAGCTTGTCCTGGTATTATTTTGTGCATAAAAGCCAATAAAAAGAATTACAAGCGTAAAAACTATATTCGACTGCGTCGGTAAAAAAGATGGCTGAGGGATCCCTACTGCGTAGCCAATGAAATGTTCGGTGCAGCATTTTTGGGAAAATTCGGTCTGGAATATAAGATCTGACTACCGGTCCTAATCCTTTGAAATGGACCTTTCAAACGAACCTTCATTGCTCGCGATTGAATTCGCGTGATCTCGCCGTTGCTAATTAATTATCGTCCACGCTACTTTTGACAATCGAACTCTGTCGCAACCGCGCGTCGCCGATTATCCCCGTCAATTATAGATTGGATTAACATGGACTCGCGTTATCATAAATCCGGGCTAGGCAGGGGCTGATCAATGTTGATTACGCGCGGCGCAACGTCCTCACAGGCGGTGCATCATCTCCCTTCCGCGGCATTTTATTACCTCCAATTTCGGCGCGTCAAACGACATATAGAATATTCCATTTATTTGACACCGATATTTCATGTCGGCCAATTTTCCAGGGTTGTATAAAACTAAATTTTTTTGTGTTGCGCGATACAGTTATTTACAACGGTCGCATGAAACGTACACGCGCGCATACGCGCACCGACGGTCGCGTGGAATAAAAAAAGATACGCGGATCAGAGTTTAGAAAATCGCGTTTACTCTCGTTCAGCATTTTCCCCGATAAATGCGTCGAACAAATAACGTAATACCGAAACGATCCCCGGCCGGCAAAATTCTCCCGTAATTTGTGCCATGTGCATAGCAATCGTTATTACGAATTTGCCGTGTTTTACGTGTGTACAGCCGCAAATTTTCCACGTTATTAAATTCCGAAAATACAGGAGCTCCGTAGTATTTCATTTAATTTTTACACCGCCCAGCTACACCCTTGCCGAATGCGAGTGATTATCGCGTAAATACTTATTATTATTCTCCTAAGTACCCGTAAAATTGTAATTACTATTATTATTAATGCCTTAAATTCACAATAATCATTGTGGTGTATTCGCCGAATGCAAATAGCGAATTTTCGAATGATTAATTATCCCGCGCTTCCACCGCGCGGTCCAAGTTGTTTAATTCACGAGCGACGGCGCTGACCGTACGGTCGTCGATCGATATGATTTTTTTTCCTGTTCCAGGCTCAAGCTTTAATCCGCAGATAAGCTTCGCGTACACGTAGAAACATACATTTGCGTACACCCGCCGACGTACATTTAAATTTCCGCGAGTAGAGCCAAGCTCGCAACGACGTTCGCTTTGAATAGAAAAAAAGGGCTGAGCCTAAATTGATGGAAACGCACCGAAGCTGTTAGCGGACTGTTTAATTTTAACGTTCGCGGAGCTTTACATTGCCATGCATAGTCCGGCGACGCGGTTCAGGCGGTCCTTAAATTTTCGATTCCCATTTTTCCATTTGGAACGTTCGCGCGATATTTCTCTTTTTTTTCCCCCGCGTACGCATGTGTCTTGATTTCGTCTGATGCTATCACGCCGTAAATCTAGTCTTCGCCCGTCTGATTTTGTGAAAACCTTACCTTAGGAATTGTGCAGTCTAATGTGGCGCAGTCCAATTAAAAAATCTGCAACAAAAATATTGAAAACGTCGATAAACGCAAAGGCAACAGCGATACAGCAATAGACAATGCGAAATAAATGATAATTATTCCATAATCCGAATGCTTTCCTGCGTTGTAATTGTTATAAATTAGCGTTGATTATTATGGAAATTATCCTCATTTGCTAATCATTAAAGCAGCGTAATCATTGAAACAATAAACGAAATTCTCTCAACGAGGGTATCGGTGTAAAAAGGACATTCGTTTCGATTTTAATGCTCCAGTAACTCATGAAAAATCGTAATATAACGATTGTAATATAAAAACACTGCCAGGCAGAAAAACGGAACAAGAAAATGATTCGCGACAAAATGCGAAATTCGTTTCGTTCATGTGGAGAAAACGTTTCGTGTTTAATTACACGCGAAAGTTTAGATTCATTTGTACAATGCAAAATTTGATAAAATATAAGACATTACGTTCAACAAAAACGTATTATGGTAAACTCAGAAGGAATAAAACTTCCTGCAGCTCGCACAGTTTGCAGTTTGCGTATTTACTAACGTTTTGTGTGTATTACGAATAAATCAATAAAGGTGCATTTCACGATTAAAATGTAAGATTACATTGCATTTCAATTTTTACACATTACCAATCGAGTCATAATATTCAATTAACATTTTGGCAATAACCATCGTATTTTCATATAATTTCAACGCTAATAAACAGCGCAGCGAATTTTCAACATTCGCGCGAGATGTGAGGCAAAGTGTCGCAAACACGTAAATTTCAAGTGTTGTCAAAATACGGCGCGCTCGTATTTATTACATTATATGTATATGTACACCTCGCATACATGTCCTTTTACGCAAATTCCACACTTTTACGCAGATTATAAATATCGGAATTCGCGAAATATACATTGGATTAATTCATATATGTAAGCTCCGTTTTACTTAACAAACTGAAATTTTTATAAACAAATAAAGCTGGTTCACGACCCACACGATATAAATCAAATGGAAACTAGAACGCCAAATTATTACTTTGGTCCGAGCTAGATGAAGGTAGCTCAATAATTTAATTTTAATATGTAAATTCGGAAAACGGTATATGAATTCACACCCGATGTGTCGTTTACGAATCAGTACTGCTATGTTATAACGTTTTTTTAAATATAAAAATGTCAAATGGAAACGAGAACGCCAAACCATTACTTAGGTCCGAGCTGGATGAAGGTAACCCAATAATTTAACAATGTGAATTCTCGGAAAACGGTATATAAATTCACACATGTTAAAATTAAATCATTGGGCTACCTTCATCTTGCTCGGACCTCAGTAATAATTTGGCGTTGTCGGTTCCATTTGAAATTTTTATATTTAAAAAACGTTATAACATTACAAGCAGTACTGATTCGTAAACGACACATCGGGTGCGTTCCCATTTCCTCTCAGCACTACTGACAGTACTCCCAATAATCTCGAGCATGCGGTATCAAAGAAAAGGTGTGGATGGCAGCATTCGGGAAAAGAACAACTGCCATGCCATTACGAAGGATGCTGAGGTTCCATTTGGGAGTGGTTCTCTCAGAAGCTAAATTCAGTAATATCGTCCATGCTGGCAGACCCATCCTTAACTACTTGCAGGAGGTAAAATAATTAGACATACCGCGGGTAGTTCTAGTTCTTCTCGGAAGAAGCGCTTCGCTGGTTATGTATAGCGAGACTTATTTATGAATTAACCCAATGCACAGGAATTTGGCTAAAAGGATTTTCATTCACGTCGGGAGATCCTTTTCTTTCGCGGCCGCAGGTCGACGAATGGACAAAGGGAGGGGGTTGGGAAATATTAATTTATGACCAGGACGAAATTATGCGCGCCACTAAATCAGGACCGCTGGCTCTTTTGTTCGAAAATTCCGGCCCTGGTCGTGGCGCCTTCAACTGGTAAACCGCCACCACCGTCGAGGAAAGCATCCATCGTCCTTCACGCGCGAGGTCACACGGCACCGACGCCACCCCCTCGCCCCGGACTGGCATTTACCCTGATTTCAGCACCCGCCGGTAATTGACTGTCTCGGCAGGCTCGGGTTAAGACTTCGCGCGACAGCAGTTCGCGCGCAAATCCAAGCTCATTCGTCGTACGCCGGAACTTTGAGATGCCACTCAGAAGCGAAGAACATCGTCTGAGCGTCTACGACAAAAGGGATGGGACGCTCGGTATTGGGGAAACCGAGTTGAACCGAACGCAGTTGAGACTTCAGCAAAACGGGCGCTTTTCAAGGTCCGCGCTCTGTATTGACTGAGCACGTGGGACACTCTCCACGGTCCGCGCTTTGTACTAAAAATTTCTGCATATTCTCAGCACGTACCATGGTGGAAAAAGAAAGGTGAGTCAAGTCAGGCGACCAATTTTCGTTCGCTTTGCGCAACTCACCAAATCAGCCATCTTGTTTTACAAACACATACTTGGTCTTGGTCATGTATACCATGGTATACATGGTGTCATATATTATACAGGGTGAGTCTTTCCATATCCGACAAAATTTTTGAGAAGGTAGAG